GTAAAAAACTAAACGTAAAGTAAAACGTAACGTAAGAACGTAACGTACTACGACTGTAGTAACTAGTAACAGTAGTAGAGAGAGAGAGAGAGAGAGAGAGAGAGAGAGAGAGTTACTCGATAAAGGAACAGCTTTTGAAGAGATAAGGTGCAAAAAGAACAAAAAGATCAGTAACAGATGAACCAATCCCCTTCTACTTGGAAAACCCATCTCTGAAACAATGGCTCCTCTGCAATTTTGAGACCCCAAATTTGGTCATGGGCAAGAGCCAGGACCCTAGGGGTCCTTTATATAATAGTTTTCTCAATGGCTTTTATGAGGTTTCTCTGTCATGTGTGTAAAGTATTTCTCCAAAGTCAAAAGAATAAATTATGCCATCTCTTTCATGCAGTTCTTGTGAGGTGGTGAGTGCCCATTTGCCTAACTTTTATTTAATGGCTTTTTCTACTACAGCAATACAGTAATGGGGCTAATCTATAAGACCCCATTTGTGCATATGTCCAAATTTGGGGTAAATGCATTAGTGGGCTCATGGTTAGTGTTTGTGTTTATCTCTATGCTGGTTTGGTGCTACACTTGGCATTTGATTATAATATGGTCATGTTTTGGGCAATTCACAGAGAGAGATGTATTTATGAACTCCAGGTTAGTGCATATTTTTATCTTGAGGCTTTTTTAATGCTAACACTTGGCATTTCATTATAGTCATGCTTTGCTCATTGAGAGAAAGAGAGAGAGAGAGAGAGCTTGGGTTGTGTAACCAATTCGATTTCTCTGTATAAAGTCCTAAGCTCCATTCTCATTGTTAAAAACTTCAAAAAAGAAGAAAGAAGAAAAAAAAAAAGGAAAATAAAAGAGGGAGAAAGTACATGGGTTGTGCAACCAAATGAATTACTTTATGGGTTGTTTGCCAATTTACCATCTTTCTTGTCATTCTTTACTTAAAAAGGCCTTTGAGAGAGAGAGCGTCGTTTGCATGATCAATTGAGTTAGTTTACTTCATGGGTTGTTTGATAAGAAAATGTATAAAAAGAGATCAATTACTTTTGGTTAATGTTTTTAAACTCGGCCGGTCCAATTCGGAACCGGCTGATCAAACTGGAACTGGTTACTGACCAATCTAGTTTTGGCCGGTTTTGGTATTGGTATTTAAAAAAAATTCAAACACATTTGTATAAAGTCCCAAAAAATAAGGGATTTGTTTGCAATTTGTTTTTTTAAATTATTTTTATCATTTTTATATAGATTGGAAAGTGTTTTGAAATATTTTTGTTTAAATTTTCTCATATGTTTCAAAAAATTTTAAAAATACCCTTGGGTATAAATCAGTTTTTTGGAATCCATTTTTTCACTAAATTGTCAACTTCATTTGGATGTACTTTGTTTAATCATGCTTTAAATATACTTTTCATATTTTTTTTGATTTTTTTGTATTTTTTCTTTTTTTAAAAAAATCTTTTTAAACTAGCCGGTTTACCGATTACCTAAAACCGGCCACCGGCCTATTTCTAACTACGATTGGATTTTTCGAATACTTTTTTTTGGTACATGGAGGGACACAATCACTTTTATTCATTAGATTTCAAATTGAGTGGCTGTAAAAATATTATCGACTAGACTAAAAGTTCAAAAACGGTTTTTTTCAAACTTTGTGACTTACCCAAACCATCCATTTTGACATCTACTAGCTAAGGATAACTGCGACTTCCTATAATAACGAATAAATATTCTCATAATGTACATTCATGTTTGATAATTTACATGATTTTTATGTCCTTGACTTCAACACCAGCCTTTGTGGTCATGTTTTTTTTTAACACTGAATTATATGGGATTGTTTATGTTCTTTTTTTTTTTACTTTAATAATGGGGTTGGACACATAGGTTGTACCTTGTGGGGTTATTGGAATGTTTTTTCTATTGATGGGTTGTTGGCATCTACACAGGCAGTATGAACTGAACTATTGGTGTGTGACAGTGATGACATGCCACTTACTTAGAGAGAGAAAACTTGTGGGGTAGGGAGCAAAAGATGAACCCATTATGAAAGTGGGCACTTCTCTATCTTGAGATAGAAAGAAGGGGGGAAGAGAGAGAGAGAGAGTGTGTGTATGTTTGCTTGGACAATGAGGTGACATTAGTGCACTTCTCAATGGTCTGAGTCTGATATTTTTAGCAACCCAACAAAACTGTGGGCACTGAATTCAAAGTTGGCTTTGTCTGTGACTTGAGATGGAGATTAGTTGGGATCAATTTCACTAGACTTTGCAGCAATACATAAGCAAGGACAAAAGAGAGGGAAACATGGTCAATGAGCTTTATGTTGAATTTTACCATGGGACTGGGTTTACTGTAACTTTTATGGGAATGTTAACTTTAGAGAGAGAGAGAGAAAGAGTCGTGGTTTTCAATGAATTTGAAACTTGGTATCCATATGAAACTCCCCCATGTCTGACTTTGTTTTGCTGGAGTTGGTGGCTATATTAATCTATATGGAGTCAACCCAGAGTGCTTGGTTCTTGTATATCATAATGTGACTTACTTTCTGTAATGTGATCATCATGATGGTGATTAGTTATGTTACCCTTCACATGTTCATGAATTCTTCAGCAAAATTGGCTTGCAACAGGAATGCATACAGATAGGTCCATTTTATCTTGATTTTTTTATGGATTGCAAATCTTTTCTAGATATAGCATTGCATAATGCATAAGATCTCTTTCTTATTCTAATGCATTTTGAACTTCTCCATAGTAAACGCTTAATTTATCCTTCATCCAATTGGTATATTCTTGCAAGTGGGAATTGAAATATGGAATGTGGTTGCCCCTTGTAATATAACTCTTACTTTTGATTATCTTTCTAGAACTATTGAGATATGGTATGTGGTTGCCTCTTATAATAAAAAACCTAACTTCTGATTATCTTTCTAGGACTTGTCTGATTGTTTCTCTTGTGTGGAATGCACCATAAGCTTTTTGTCAACCTTTATCCTTTACCCCATTGAGGGTACAATGAATTTGGTGTATCTTTGCTAGGGCAACTTAATGGCCATTCAGAGAAAAGGGTGTTTTTTAATCATTGCTGCTAGATCATGCCATCTGTGAATTTGATCTAGATGGGTATATGATGTTTTATTGGTTAAATGTTTCCCATTTAATCTTTCCTCATGGCCTTCTAATGCTTCACATTCTTCTTTACATAGGTAACTACAAGTACATAATCTTTCACCTCATTTTCTTTTATTGGATGAAATGGTTCAATGCTCATGTAATTTATGCATGTATAAGTTACATGTATCCTTTAAAAAAGGTCAGTAATAAGTGAACCATATCTACTTATTTAGTTATTTGAAATTGAAGAATGTTCTCATTTGGCTTATCTCCTTACATAAAAGCTGCAACATTTGGCTTCATTTTATGCAATTTCAAGGCTTAATTTACTTGTTTATGTGTATCTTGAGGATTTTAGGAAGGCTTAAGTTAGTTATGTAGCTCTAGAGAATTTTAGGAAAACTTACCCAAAATAAATAAATAAATAAATTAGGAAGGCTTTCTATTGATGCCCTGCTTGGTGTATTATGGTCTTCAATTGATAGTTAATAGACATCTTCCTTTCCTTTTTTTTTCCCTTAGCAGGTGCTTCAATATATATCTAGCTTTTTCCTTTGTAACTCTCATGAAAGAATTGAAATTGGTTTTTGTTATGGTAGAGGAGGATGTCTTTTCAAGAATGAATGGCCTTGTGGAAAGCCTGGAATTGGAGATGGTTTGTAATATACAAATCATTTATTACATTTTGAAAACAAACCATCATTATCACATAAAGGTTGATGAAATATTTGTAAACTCCCTGTTACTTAGCTTCATGTGCATGTAAATGGTTCTCTATGCAAGCAGCCCAATTGACTGACAACAGTAACTTCTTTCTAATCACTGAAAAGCCATGTAAAGTCTTGGGTGGCCTACTTGTTGAATTTACTTAGTGGATTTACAGTTTTTGGTCTTAAAACATGTAATGGCAAGTGTAATTCCTTGACTTGGGGCTCCGAACTTTACACATCACTTTGACCAAAGGCTCACTTGAGTCAATTTGTCATGTCATACAAGGTCATTACTTGGTATATACTTAACATATTAACTACTTAATCATATAGATAATTTTAACAAAACAGAAAAAGCAAGTTTATACTTCTTTTTTTTTTAGCACACAACAACATTAGGCAAAAGAAAAACTAGTTCTCATTAAAATCCACTGCAAATTTAGTCTCTCTCTCTCTCATTAAAATCAACTGCCAGGGAAATGCTGGCGTAGGCCCATTAACCTACAGCTACATATAGGTGCAATGACCCAAATTTAATCTGAGCCGATTCGATGGACACGACTTCATTTTATATTTGAATTTTATTTTTTTCTACAATTTCAAATCATGTGAAATTTTAGGCTTCTATTCTTCTCATAAACGCGTACCTACTAAAAATATTAAAAAAATATTTTACAAAATATAAATTAACCAAAATACCCTTGAAAACTTTTGGAGGTATTTTGGTTAATGTATTTTTCACGAAATATTTTTTTGATATTTTTATTGGATTCTAATATTTTTAAAGAACACATGCTCAAAATTTTAAGTGATTTCAATTTATATAAAAAAAAATTAAAATTCAAATAAGAAATGCAATTGTGATTTTTGGATCGACCCAGATTCAATCTGACCTATTGGACCTATGTGTAACTGTAGGCTAG